CGCGCCCGATCAAGAAGCCGGGGCTCTTATCTTAAGTACTAGAACCCATATTGAAGGCAATCAGCAAAGACGTAATCCAGCTGACCAGTTGTAAAAACCTCAGCGGCCTCGGTGGGATTCAAATCCACGCCAGCAGGAGAAAGACTTCAGTAGAGTCAACACTCTAGCCAACTGAGGTACGAGTTTTTCACGACTGGCTCAAATGAATTATTCAAATCTGCCAGAACTCCCCTACTAATTAAGTGTGCCTGGCAGGCATCTGATGGATTCTAGATTGATCGCCTAGGAAGTCCTGGTTGTGCAGTCAGATGGAATCCAAACGTTGCAGTAGGCTGGGCGAGTAAATCGACCAAATTGCGATTAAACTCACGACTGCTGGTGCGGGGGGCCTCAATAGTTCAGTTGGCTAGAGTTTGGCTGAAATAAAATCTTCCTTTTGCTGGCGTGGATTCGCATCCCATCGTTGTGAGTACTGCTTTGAGGTGTGTGAGCTTTAAAGTTGGTAAGCGTCTACACATGCATGGCTACCTGCGGTACTTGTATTGGAGATGCTTGCCAGCAACTGGTTTGCGGCTCAACTGATATGTTCACAACAAAGGACCAACCAGCATACCTGGACCACAAGCAAGGTTCAGACTCCAACTTCAACAATAATCTACCGAAAGTCGGATTCCGAACAAAAAACAAGAGCTTTCATATAGGTATATGGACCAGAAACGGTAGAACACTCACTTTTCTCGAACAATGGGTATGTTACCGGGGTTCACCAGACCGACGGGGAGAGACAGATTGCGGAATGTGTTCTCATCATCCAGGTTTAGACGTTTTGAAGTGTAATCAGCCAAAATCCATGGGAACTTGATAGGGTAAAAAGATTCGAGGGTAGAATTATACGGAAGAGTGGAAGGGGTGAGAGAGAACTCTATGTTTTGTATCAGTGTTTTGGTAGTACTGTAGGGCGCAGGGGACAGGAGCATGTTAGATGGCTTTCGACCATAAAAATATTAATAACAGCGAACTTAAACGGACAGTCAAATCCTGTCCAGTGGGCCTATAAACGGACCGCGTGATAGATGCACTCGACCAACACGGAGGCCATGTCAGGGTACGGCAGAAGTTGATCGGGTTACGCTCCGATAAAAAAAATCGAACATGAGAGTAGTGGGCTGTGGTGGCACCTATAAGGGCGGCTTCGGCAACGCCAACCACCTGCACCCCGATCCTGCCTCCGGTCTTCTTGACTCTGTCTTGGCACCGAACGGGCGAGGGAATATTGAGTGCGGTAGATGCTACGCAAGTTCACTAGCATTTAAAACTAATTCACGCACAAGTCTCTATCTCTGTACTCCCTTGTTGCGGAGCATACGGCGGACATAGTCAAAATCGACGGTCGGACTGTCGAGACGAGTAAGTTCAAATTTTAAAAAAATTGGCGAGGTAGATGAACGAATCAAAGATAGACACCTAAACACTGAATGACAGCTGTTTGGTATCACAACAAGGTCCCATGCCCGGCAGAAGCCCTTAGCAGCAAAAGAGGTAAGGATGGCTTGAATGGCCGCCTGAAGAGGCCACGGGAATAGGACCGTCCCGCCAACTTAAAAATAGACAGCTTTACGATAAATGTCGGGAAAGCTAAGTATTCCTGTGTCTCAAACCTACAAAGAAACCAAACTGTAACCAAGAGTAGGGCCTGATTCGGGGATAAGAACCACTCTCCCACCAAATAAACTCTCACGATTTTTTTGTCAACTCTATGGGATATAATGTAAGGATGACTGGCATGAACACCTCAAATAGGAACCCCCAGTCCACTTAAAATATGTGGCCTTGAGACCCCAACATAAACACTGAGGAGTTTTTTCACTGTCTGCCCCTATTTTCATCCTATGACACAGGA